TTTTAAAAATATGGTTTATTTATAATTAGTTAGGGTGTGATTTTCAATTTTTGTCTCCAAAATAAATAAAAAAATTGTGTGACAAAATAGCAAAATTCTCGCAGTTAAATGATTATAATCATGGCCTATATATAACTATATATCGCTTTAATGTTGAACATTTTTGAATACTTCACATTCACTTTATTGGGCGTAATATATTTTAAATTTAAAAATGAAAATAAGATTTTAAATTTGAGGTGAATGGGTATTTTTCATATTAAATGGATTATATGCGCAAGAATCTCAAGAAAGAAATTCATATCAGAAAAGATAAAAACCACGTATCTTTCCGGTAGAAAAATTTAGGGAGAATCACATTAAAGAACCTATAAAATTTATTATTCACAAATAAAGAATAATAAAAAATAAATTATTATTAAAATGAGAATTAAATTTGTTTTTTCGGGATGATAACTTATTATTAATCTTTATCTAAAAATAATATTGTTCATAAGTCTTTAGATGTGATTTTTCCAAAACTTACTAGTGGCTCACTCAATTTTTCCCACTTAGTTGATTGGAATCGCATGTCGAATACAACCATAGTTCACAACAGATAGCATCATGCATGCTACAAATAAGGCCTGACCCGGTCTTAAGGGCACTTAGAGCAAATTCCAAAAATTTGTACTCTCACTATTAAAAAATATAAGATAAGATATTTTTTTAGAAGTTGGATGTTAAAAAATATAATGTATTTTTAATCTTTCGAGGTATAATTATTGTATTTTTTTTTAAAAGTGTCTCAATTAAAAATTACTTTATATTAATAGTAGGATGTTTAATAGGGATAAATATAAAAAAATAGGATTAGTTAAAAAATAGATAACTAATTTATTAAATAGTGAAATTTAATTAAAAATATTTTATATTTTTAAACGGAGAAAGTATGTTTTATTATTTATTGTTTTTCACTAAGATGATCATTTTGATATATATATTTTACTTACCACAAGCCTAAAAGAGGAGGAGATAAATATAGACTTTTTAGGTTTGGTACTATGCTGGGAATAGTTTTGGAGTAGAAGCAGAAAGCATTGTAACAAAGGACAGACCCAGATTTCTGAATCACAAAACCTAACCAGTTTAACTTTTCTTTGGTTGCACTTTGACAGTTTAACTTACAGTTACCAGTTATACTGTGCAGATCGGAGATGAGGGGAAAAACATGAAAGTAACACTCACCAGCATGATTGAAAAAAAATGTAAAGAAAGTACAATGATGAAGCTATTTGTTTGAGTGGAAATATCTAGATACATTGAATTCTCCAAGCTTATTAAAATTGAGAACACAGTCTCACTGTAGAGAAAAAAATGAAAAAGTAAACTCGGAAAGTTGAAATAAAAAGATATTATTTAAACATAACTAATAAATATTGATTTAGTTATCAAAAATTTAATTTATAACTTATAAGATTGTGAATTTAAATTCTGTTATTGAATAATATATAAATATATTTATAAATATTCTTTGAGTGTAAAGATATATCTTTAATTCTGAAGAGTTTTTAAAATTCAGCTTACCTAAACTTTGCTGGTAGGGAGAAAAACAGATCATTTAAGATGTCTCACACAGGACCCACGTACTGCTATGGAGTACTAACTCTGAAGGACTGCACTATTTATTATTGGTACCATGCCTTGGCTTTCTGCGCAAATAACACACCTCTGAATGCCATATTTATGAATTCATGAACCCTGGTTTTAATTTTTTAATGGTCCCTCACTTCTTGCCCGTGTTGGTTTTTTTTTTTTTTTTGGGTTTCTCCAGCTATTTTGTACTTCAAGATTTCAGTTATAATTAGTTAAAATTGGACCACTTTACCATTCTTGAATCTGACACAAAAATGGCCAATGATGTTCCATGTCCATAATTTACCATACTTGAAGCAGAAACTAGTAATTAGACCAGGCTGATAGCCTGAAACTGCATGATACTAAACATTGTTTTCCCATTTTTTGAGTCCAGTTCAACCCAAAACGTTTGGGCCGATTTATTCTTGGGCATTTCTAATTTCTGTCAGATGAGCCCAATGGCAGAGCCCCGTTGAGTTATTTGCACCCCCTCATTTAAAAAAAAATTACAAGTAAGATATATAAACTTTATCACTTTGTACCCCTTATTCTTAATTTTTGACACCCTCTAAATTAAAAGAAAAATATTTAGATCCAAAAACTTATTTACAATATTTTAATAGCATCTTTAGATAAGATATATAATATTTGAACAATTTAGATAAAATATGAATAACATATTTACAATAAAAACTATATCAGTCTGTTCAATATAATTTTTTTTAAAATAAAAAAATAATAAAACTATTTATGTTATTATAATTTTAGTTCTAGCATAATTATTTAAGAAAAATTAATTTTTTATTAAATTAACACGCATTTCCTATCTTAGGGTCTTGGCTTCGCCACCGGATGAACCCAACACTGAAATTTAAAGCTAGGTTATATTTTTTTCACATGGCAGCTAAACTCTAAGCTCACCAAGTGAATGTGGCACAAATGATAGTGGTCTGAGCCTCTTAAATATCATTCCAGCATTTGATTCTGGAAGGTATGTATGAAAAAATATTACTTGAAAGAAGATAACTCCTTAAATGACAATTAGATTCTTTAGAGGATTAATCTCACAGCTGTCAATTATGAGGATACCTTAGGTAACCAAAAAAAAACCTCTAAACTCAATCAAAATGAAAAAAAAAATTAATATTTGAAGGACAAGATTACACCGCTATTCACTTGATGATGCTCAATGCACTTTCAAAAAATTTAAGGGGCAAAATTAGCAATTTGACCTTATATTTAATATGTAATTCAACTTTCACATTTTTCTACCGATTGGATTGGTTCAAATTAAAAAAAAAATGGAGCAAGAAAAAACTTAAAGAAGAAGTTTAGGAAGAAAGGAAAGTAAAAGAAGTGAAGGGGCGTGGAGGTAATTCTAACGCTGAGGATCATTCTCTGCCTTCTTGTATCTTAGCATAGATTTTTTTTTTTTTAAAATCTATGATCATTCTCTACTTCTTGGTTGGGGGAGATAAATGATGAGAAATAATAGCTTGGTTCTTCTTATTTGTTTTTTCTTCCTTAAAAATAAAAGTATTTCAGTTTATATTTAAAAAAAAGTAGTCAGAACTCCCCAAGAGACCACGTCAGCTTACAATTACATCACAGCCAGTAAACTTTCTTACATTATATGCACAAAGGAAATTGAATACAACGAAATATATTTTAAAACAATCGCAAATAATTACAATTATTCCAGTTTAATCGTTTTTTTAGCTTTTTTCATTCACAACTCACTTTATTGGCGGAAAAACATTTAAATTTCAGAGAATCACAGTTAGGTCTTAGACTATTAAATTAACGATAGAGAAATCTTCAACAATTTTTTTTAAATAAGTTAAATATATCAATTTAGATAATTATAAATTTAGGAGTTCCATTACAAATAAGTATTTAAATATCAAATGTTACTCTTAAATTGTAATATGAATTTCTATTTATAACTATCATTAATTCAATTATTTGGGACCTAACTGTCAATCTCTCTTTAAATTTTCATATCAAACCATTAATTATAAGGCTACCATATGAGATGTTAACAATAGGTTACCCATCGTTATGATAAAAACAATCAAGTCTAGTATTTGTCATCAATATCTAGAATAAGATACTCTCTACTATGGATGGATTCTATTCCTTGTATTATAAAAAAAAACTAATAAAAATTGGTTCAGTTGATAAGGTCACAGAAGCAAAACCAAGGCAAATAGTGAGAGGGGCCAAATTTATTTTAAAAAGTTAATATATATATATATATTAATATTTATAATAATTAATTTTATAAGATAATAAAACGTTATAATTATATAATATTTTTTCAAAATATAAAATAATTAAAATGAATTATACATACTATCTTTAATTTTATTTATAAGTCATTTCTAATATATTTTACTGTTATAATGAAAAACTTTAAACTTTATTAACTTTATTTTGAAATCTAATAAGTTTCCATCACTATCTTTAATAAAGACAAAAAAATTATTTTTAATGATTTTTTTCTAGAGATGAACATATAAAATAATGAAGTACTCTATAAATAAAATTAAAATTAATCTTTTATCTATCTTATAAATAGAATTAAAAGAGTATGTATGTACGTGTGCATGCATATATGATATGTACATGTGAGTGGATTTTAAAGATTTTTTTTTTTTAAATTGGGACAACAAGCCAAAATAACTTCATTTGCTATAGCCTCTAAAATGCCATACCCCCAATATATAGTAAGGGGTGGACAGGTTGGCCTCACTTGAGATGCACCTATATCCGTTCTTGAGTAAGGATTTAGCATATAATTTATTACTTGTGAGGATCAACTCTTGCTATCAATGCAAATAATTTGTAAGTATTTTTATAGACGCATTTTGAATTTGGTATAGACATGTTTTGGTTCTAATTAGCCAATTTCTACTTTAATTTTTGAAGCTCACAAGAACATATTCGTGAGGCTGTAATTCGTCTTATGTTCCAATATTTAATAGTCGGATTTCTTGGGATCTATGACATGAATTTCTGCTCGATGTGTTCTCAGCAGAGAGTAGCTAAAGTCAACCCTTCCTATCTCTCACATTGGATCTGCCCATCAATTGACCCAATTTTATAATTTCATTCAAAGATATAATACACATGCAAGGTGTAAATGAGTGTTTAATATCCATGTATTAATGGCCTTAATCCATATTAAGTATTAAGCGAGGAAGAATTAAGCATATGATATAGATCAGAATGCATGTGAATGCAGCGATGCAAGCGGGGAGACCTAGAGACACGATGTCACTTTACAAGGCGCATGCAGTGGAAGGATCATGCTGCTAAATGATAGAATATCACAGCCCAAATTTTCAACACTATATAACAGCCCCACAACCCTTCCTCTTCCTTATACCTTAATTTTCCCATATCCATTAGCAATGGCCACAAAAGCCTTCTTCTTGGTGGCTCTCTGTCTCTGCATTCTCCTTCCATTTTCCACCTCAGATCATGGTCCTTTCCGTGTCATGGGTCGCGTCTACTGTGACACCTGCCGTGCCGGGTTCGAGACCAATGTCACCACTTACATTGCAGGTAACAGATACAGATTATTAGGGTTTAGTAAGAGACCAGAAAAGTCTTTATATTCCGTGTCATTTTCATTCATTTTGGCTGCTGTCTCTCGGTACTCAGAAAAAAGTGTTTTTCCACACACACAATATTGAAGCGTGGAGCTAATGAATGTTGCTATGCTGGAATGGTTTAATTTAGGTGCGAGGGTGAGAGTGGAGTGCAAAGACAGGGATAGTTTGGCAGTGATGTTCAGAGAGGAAGGAGTGACAGATTCCACAGGAACGTACAGCATATTGGTGGATCACGATCATGGCGATCAGATGTGTGAGAGCGCGTTTGTGAGCAGCCCTGTTTCAGATTGCAAAGTGCCAGACCCAGGCCGAAGCAGATCCACCATCGTTCTTACTCGTACTCAAAACGGCATCGTCAATGATCTTCATTATGCCAATGCTTTGGGCTGCTTCAAGGACGTGCCTTTGCCTGAATGCTACCACCTCATGAAGTACTACCTGGCCGATGACATTTAATTTCGTTGTCTTTCTTAGTTATTCCATTATTTGCTTCATGTTTTGTTCATTCTTTGCTGATTATTTAGATCAATAGGTGTTTAAATTTATCTGTGATCTCTTAGTTAATATACCCTTGCTGATCACGGATTGTTCAAGTCTACGGTGTTTTGTTTGATGTGTTAATACCCAAGTTAAATAAGAATGAGCATCCTCGCCACATTATTTTTTATTTACACTAGAAGGATCTTTGAATTATTTTCCTACCATGAAAGCTACCTTCAACCGTCAAATTAAAGTTTGAGATTAATGATTAATGCTGTATATTTTTCTATGGCAAGTACCAGATCAATAATACAAATTAGGCTCTAATAATTAATTTGTTCTTTGATAACTACAAACATTTCTGGAATCCAAGGTTTCTTGAAATGGATATGCTTATGCATAATACTATATGTCTAAAACAAACAACAATAATATAATTTGAGCTAAGATCGAAATTAAAATGGATTAGAAGGTTCATCTTAATGTCGGTTACTCCTACCGTTAACCCACACGAATGCATAGAAACTGCTTTTGAATTTTTCTTATACTCTGGTTTATTATATGAGAGTTATAATATTTAAAAATTAAATAAAAACCATTTATGGTTCCTTGTTTGCTTAATGAAGAATACGATTTGTTATAGATTATTTATTATAGTTAATAATTTATGAATAATGTGGTGTATTATAGGACACATTTTAAAATTCATATAATTTTTTATCTAGTGATCTTTTTATAATTGAACTCTATCATTTTATAAATTATTATCCCATGCATTGAGAGGATTAATTTATGCATTAAAGTTTAAAACGGTTAGTTTGGGAAGGTTACGACTTGCAAAAGGGCGAAAGAAGGATGTGCACTTTTTTCTATCGCCTATTTTTGACATATGCATATAAAATTCTATTTTTCTTAATCTCTATTATAAAACGTCTTTCAAAAAAATTGTTCTTAATATAAAGTCATAGCGATTAATCAAGATTTTATAATTTTATCCCTATTGCAAATTACTATATATAAGGAGAATTTACTTCTAATTTAGTATTTTCATTTGACTTGTCCAATACTGTATTTTCCTTTTTTTAATAGGAATAAAATTAAAATATTTTAAATTTAAAATAAATTTAATGTGTTAACCGCCTTTGTCTCGTTGATAGAGTTAGTTAAAATTAAAAGTGTTTTTTTAACGGAAACAAGAAGATTTATGACCAACTTGATAAGCAATATGGGCAGAATACATTGCTTGCTTTTCGAAATTTGGAACGACGCCGTATGAACCTGTGTGCAGCATCGAGATTTTAAAAAACGAATATTGCCGTCCGAGCTGGGTTTGAAAAAATTATTAAAAATATCAAAACAAAATACAATTAAACCTGACCGTACAATTTTAATCCGAACGGTTAGATTAGTAAGAGGCACTCGCAGTCCGCAGAGCCCCTGAAGCTGGTTCCGTTCCGAGCAGGGGCGGGTGAATCTTCAAAAAAAAAAAACTGCCACGCTTTCTATGCTTGTCGGCTTCTTTTCCTTTTTCATGTGTCAATTCACGCTATCGTTCTTTAAAGAAGAGGGAAAGAAAAAGATTAAGCATTAACGTTCTCTCTAACAAGGTTGTCTCGAGCGTTCTCAGTTTCAGCTTCTCTCCCTCAGCATTTGCCATCCACGTGAGTTTACAGTCCTCATTTTTCAAAATGTTTGGTTCATCCGCTAATTTGATCTTTGCGTAATATTCAGATTTCAGTTGCTCTGTATCATGCTTGATACTTCTCACTTGGATATCATTGGCTACTGTTGGATTGGGGTCATTAATTATGCTTCCCCTTGGTGAAGGATACACCGCCGAGATGTGCTCATATATTTCTGGGAAGATAGGCAACATTTGCCACCTGTTTCATTGTAATTTAGGAGTTGTCCTGTTTTAATTTTCCGCGTTGTTTTTTCCCCCCTCAAGCGGACGCTTGCCTTTTAATTGCGCAAAAAAAAAAAAATTATGCTTCCCCAGTGGATTCTTGACATGGGATTCAAAATCTCTTGGGAAGGAAAGAATGTAACTTATTACTATGTGACTATTCTGGAAACTTCGTTTATGAAGCACTTCCCCATAGCTATTTCAATTCGAGCTCACCGGGAAAGAACGGATGGATTTAAAAAAAAAAATGAAATATAACCAGTCCTGAGAATACTAAAAATCTTGTCAATCTTTATGGTGGTATAGATTCTGCGTCATTCTTCTAATGAAAATTCTAATGTGTTTTTGTTCGTGGTCCATTGCATTATCAGCATGGCTGCTACTTTTTCTTGCCATTCCGTGGGGCTCCATAGTTGGGGCTCTGATGCTTCTAGCTCTTCCATAAGATCAGGGAATCTCACTGTGAGATTCCTCTCAAGGCATTTGGAAGGCAAAACTGCACTTTTCCGAAAAGAGTTTCCTACATCTCCCCACCTTACTCATGGATCATCCTATTCTCCTACTGCGGATTCTACATCAGTTAACGATGTTCTTAACGTTTGTCAGGACTCGTCAGGTGAGTGATAACTTTCCAGATGATTCGTGGTATTTGTGTGACACTATAACTGTTGTTCCCCTTGCCCAATATCTGATAACTTATGCATATACTTGGGTTGTAAATTATGTGTCCATAACCCCATTCTATCATAGTTTTTTATTACTCATTCTGATTGAGAAAGAGGGCTTTAATGCTTTTGCTTTATCTTCTTATTGGTGGGTATTACATACTTGTTTTTAGCTGAGTCTGCTTTGATATTGATTCGGCATGGTGAATCTCTGTGGAATGAGAAGAACTTGTTTACCGGATGTGTTGACGTGCCTTTGACCAGGAGAGGTATAGAAGAAGCAATTGAAGCTGGTAAGAGGATTAGCTATATTCCAGTAGATGTAATTTTTACATCTGCTCTGATTCGAGCGCAGATGACTGCTATGCTTGCCATGACTCAGCACCAACACAAGAAGGTATGTGCTTGTTGCTTTCTGATAGATATTATTGAAATTTACCAGTTTCTCTTCGCAAGAATATGCTTAATGAAACTGGTTTTCAGTGTCAGCTAAATTCCAGCTTAATTGACAGCACAGTGCTAGACGATTCTCTATCCTTCAAATGGTTTTTTTTTTTTTTTTTCCTGTAAGAGGCTTTACGTGAAAGAAGAACTGGCGTATTTATGAAACATTATTTAACTTATATTTATGTAGTAAGACTAAAATCAAAGTTGTCAAGTGCCTTGGTTTGTGGCTTAGTTCTAAACAAAACTTTCATCCGCACTCTTGTTTAGTAGTGTCAAACTTACTTTATATCCTCCTGAATTGAAATAAAATTAGCTGAACTCTCCTTTCTGCTGTCATTTTTTTTTTTTTTGGAAAGCTAGAATTTTTTTCCCCTTTCAAAAGCCAAACGTGTACTCTTCAGGTGCCCGTTATCATCCATAATGACAGTGAACAAGCAAAAACCTGGACACAGTTTTCAGCGAAAAAACCAAGAAGCAGTCTATTCCAGTTATAACAGCTTGGCAATTGAATGAAAGAATGTACGGGCTAATAAAATCTTTTCCCCTATTTATGGTTCGATGTAAATGTCAAATAAAATGATGGAATAACCCTTCTTTATTCTACAGGTATGGGGAGCTGCAGGGTCTAAATAAGCAGGAGACTGCAGAAAGATATGGCAAGGAGAAAGTGCACGATTGGCATCGTAGTTATGATATTCCCCCTCCCAGTGGTGAGAGCCTAGAAATGTGTTCCCAGAGAGCCGTTGCCTACTTTAAGGATCATGTGCGTACATCATTTTTTTTTCCCTAACTTTAAAGTTCCGCTTTTTCCTTTGGATATTTTTTATACTTTGTCTCTTGGAATTATATTGCTATGGAAGTTAATTTTGAGAAGCATGAATTGTAGATTGAACCCGAACTTAAAGTTGGAAAGCATGTGATGGTTGCCACACATGGGAATTCTCTAAGATCCATTGTAATGTATCTTGACAGATTAACATCTCAGGAGGTACCGAGCAAAATTTTCTTATGACACTCGTTTCTAGTTAATAATGATAGGGCTAATATTAATTGAACCTCTGTAGAGAAACAGGTCATCAACTTGGAATTCTCTGCTGGTATACCATTGCTTTACATATATAAAGAGGGAAAATTTATCCGCAAGGGAAGTCCTGGTGGGCCTACAGAGGCAGGTGTTTATGCATATACTAAGGTATGATATATTAGCCTTGTCTTAACTTGACTTTTTGGTGAACAAATTGACACCAATTGCTTGTAAGCTCGTGAAGTGATGCTCTATTAGGGTTGTCGGCCTTTTGTTTGCATGCAGCCATATGAAATTTTGAATATCAATTTGTCATAGCCTTCGTTCAGTATGTTTCTGTTGGCAATATTTGGCCTTCATTATAACCTGCAAACGAAGAAAAGCCAGAAATGTGGTCTATAGCTTGCTCAGATTTTGTTAGTTTGTATTATGACTACTCTTCCCATTACTACTTTCTCGGTTTTTCAGTTATAACAAATTGAGGGGAAAAAAAAAAATGGAACCTTGCTGGGCTTAATCATAAGGCCTTGTATAGTTCATACTAGTGCTGTTTTGTTAGAAAGGGGGACTATGACCATCCCTAATTGAAATTGGACAGTCGTCAATCCCAAGTTTTAAATCAAGTTAGCAACAAGGCTTAATGAAAATTATATGGGAGAGTGTATTATCCCTTCTGGTCTTGACAAGAAGGTTACTGTTTTTAGTTCTCCTAAGTTTCAATAATTGTAAGCATGATTCAGCCAGGTTGGATGGCAGGATATGGTTTATCATACATGAATTTTTCTGTAATTCCATCTTAAGAAGGGAGATACCCTCTTTGCTCACCCTTATTGAGTTGTCATCGCACATGGGCTTTGTTCATCTCTCTAAGCCTATTTGATAATCCCAATTCCGTATGTTTCCCATGGTGCTTGCAGAGCTTAGCTGATTACAGACAACAGTTGGATGAAATGCAACATTGAAGTTGTTGATCTGATCCCTCTCACTTTTAATGATAAAAGGCGCGACGATACTCCAAGAACCTTCAGTTTTTGGTTGCCATTTTAGTTTGTTGTGCACTTGCACAAAAGATATTCATCAATCATCAGGGCCGATACACAATATAGTTGGATTGATGAGCAGATTTTTGACCATCTTTCTCACATACATTTGGCTGATAGTAACATTCCATAGAACGAGTTTTCCAATTGCACAGTATCACAACCCATTGAATATTCTCACAGGAAATTGATAAGGCTTTTGTAGATTGAACTCTGATTGTAACTTGTAACGAGTTCAGTATTTTCTGATCAGAACACTTAATCCAATTTATATTTGTCGTCATTTAATATTTTTAAAAAAACGGCTGGTCGTTTGTTGACTATAATGGCAAATAAGCTGTTTCAACTTGGTTATTCTGATATAGACGAGGTGGTTGCTTTAATTTTGATTATCAATATGCTTGCATTTTTAACATCTACGATGTGGTAGTACAATTATACTTGTAATTGTTTAGAATCTCCATTTTAAGATAAACTTTGGTTTTGAAGTATACTTGTGAATGTTATTTTAAAAAAAATGTATAAATTTGGACAATGAAAGATTCTTGTTAATTATTTAATTCTTTTTTCCGACAATGAAAGATACTTGTTAATTATTTATGACTTAGAAGATTTTCAATTCAACTGGACCTCATATTATTTCTTTATATTGTTCAGAGAAAGCTATAATCCATCTGTTGAGGTACCAACATCAGGCCTCATATTTTCAATGGTTTCTACTTCCAGTTGGGTTGTATTATTTTTATTTCTCATTTATAAATATGGTTGTATATAGGAATAGGAGTATTTAATATTATACATTAATACATGACAAACAATCATTTTCAAAAAGATCAATTAGAGAAATTTAACTTTGGGTTGCTTAATTTGGTTTTTAATTTCATTTAACTTTAACTGGGATTTTTGTTTAATTTTCATATAAACAACAAAAACAACAATAAGCCTTATCCCACTAAGTGAAGTTGGTCATTTGAATTGCATGACGTTATTATACTCTATTATTTATTAAGTTTTTATTAATGTTATTAATTAAGATGTATCAGTCACTAACTTTCATAAGTATTCTTTTTAACCTTCCTTTACCCCTCTTAACATGATTTAAAATTATTCATTTCAATTTTTTTAGTGATGCCTCCCTTGATCTTCTTTATAAATATCCAAATTATTTTAAACAATTTGCTAGTCCAAACTCTTTTAAATAATTTTCTACTGTTTTTCTCTCAATAGATGTTATGCTCATTTTTTATCATATATGTTCATTTTGAATTTTATCTTTATGTATATGCCTCCAAGTTCGTCTCAACATTTTCATCTCTACTGCTCTAACTTTAATTTTTATATATTCATTGTATTTTATTTCAGTTCAATAACAATTTATATTTTCTGTGAACGTTACCAATTTTTTTCACCTTGATCAAACATTACCAAATTAAACTATAGGAATGTGAAAAATGAAAATAACACAAATATTTGAGTACGTTTAAAAAAAAATAAAGAGCAAATCGAATAAAAAAAAGGAAAACATAAATCAAGTTAGTAAATTAAATCAAAATCAAATTAAATTAAGAGACAAAATTTAATTTAAATGTAAAATGAAATTAAAAAATTACCCGATTAGAATACAATTTACCAAGGAAGATTGCCAAGAGCATCAGAATACTCCTTTTTGTTGTCACGCTGCTTGGATGATGGAGGATTCCTTCCACCCTTTGGTTAAATGTTCTTGGGTAACTAATGATTGGAATGAAGGGATATCTAAATTTACAACCTCCGCCGCCTATTGAAACAAAGATAAGATAGGAAATATATCTTCTAAGAAGAAAAGAATCTTGCATCGGTTGGAAGGCATTGACAGGAATAGAAACTATAGAGATAACTATTTTCTCAAGAACTTGGAAAAATCTCTTTAAGAAGATTATGAACAACCTCTTTTGCAAGAAGAGCTGATTTGGTTCTAGAAATCTAGGTGCAAATGGTTAAAATAGGGTAATCAAAATGCCAAATTCTTTCATGCAACATCTGTCATTAGAAGGAAAAGGAATCAAATTCTATCACTCCAAGTTGATGATGACACTTGGGTCCATGATCGGAATAAACTAAAAAATATGGTTGTTACCTATTTTGACAATCTCTTCAAGGAAGATACAGTTATCAAACCCAAGCTTAATATTGATAGAAGTTTTCCACCTCTTTCTCCTATTCAATTTCAATCTATTCATAAAGAAGTGACTGAAGAAGAAATAAAAAATGCTCCTTTTGAGATCGGGGCGTTCAAAGCTCCAAGTCCTAATGATATCAATGCTGGCTTTATTCATACTTACTAGGATGACTTGAAAATTAGTATTTATAGTTTAGTCAAAAAAGTTTTCAAGGAACCTAAAATCATTAGGACAATTAATGACACTTTCATCACTCTTATCCCTAAGAAGGATCATCTTACCTGTATGAAAGATTTTTGCCCTATATCCCTTTGTAACATGAGTTATAAAATTGTCACAAAAATTCTTTCCAACTGACTTCGTGCTTGTATGAATCATTTAATCGAGGATAATCAATGCAGCTTCATACAAGGACGTCAGAGTAGTGATAATATCATTATTGCTCAGCAAATCATCCATGCAATGTGAAACAAAACAGGCAAAAAAAGGTTTCATGGCCCTTAAAGTTGACTTGAAAAAGGCATTCGACAAGCTTTCTTGAAACTTCATTGATGATACTCTTCAGTGCATTGGAATTAATAGTCACTTTAGAAACTTGATTCAAGCTGCCATCTCTATCACTTGCATACGAGTCCTTTGGAATGGAGAACCTTTTAAGGAATTCACACCCTCTCGTGGCATTTGGCAGGGAGACCCTCTTTCTTCTTATCTATTTATACTTTGCATAGAACGTTTAAGTCATTGTATAAACAGTAGTATTTTCCTCTTATCTCTCATTTATTTTTTGATAACGATCTTTTTCTTTTTACAGAGTGTTCTCTTTCACAAGCTATGATTATCCAACGATGTCTTTTTGATTTTTGTAATGCCTTAGGTCAAAAGATAAACACAAAAAAATCTAAGCTCTTCTGTTCTAAGAATGTCAATGTTAACAAAGCCTTACAAATCGATGAAGGACTAAGGATTCCACTCACAGGAAATCTTGGAAAATACCTTGAAATCCCTATTATTCATGAAAAGGAATCTAAACTCACTTTTACCCCACTTCTTGATAGAGCAAATTCTCGCTTGGCAAATTGGAGAAGTTGTTACTTGAACATGGCTGGGAAACCAGTTCTCATCAAATCTGTTTTATCCACCCTTCCTATTACACTATGCAAAATATACTTTTATCAAATAATATTTTGTCTGATTTGAAAAAAAATCTCTAGAAATTTTCTATAGGATTTGACTGGTGAAAACAAAAATTCACATCTACTCTCTTGGGATAGAATCACTATGGATAGAAAAGATGGGGGACTTAGACTCAAAAAACTGAAGAATCAAAATATCACTTTCATAATGAAGCTTTATTAGAGCCTTATCACTAAGCCACACTATCTCTGGGTTTGAATTCTTCGTGATAAATACAAATGTAACAAACCCAAAATTTCGATGATAGTTAAACCTAACTCTTATTCTTACACCAAGAGCAGCATTTGTAAAATTTGGGATAAATTCATATCTCATGTAAGTTAGAAAGTTGGTATAGGAGATCGAATATCATTTTGGTATGACAAATGGTCTCCGCTCCCTGACCCTCTTGTCAAGCATGTTTTTCTTAATGCTGATTCTATTCTCTCTGCTAAGGTCTTTGACTTTCGCCATATTACAGGAGGTTGGAATATTGATCTTCTAAATCATTACTTCCACTCTGATGTAATTAAACAAATATTACTTGTGCAACCTCCAAACCAACAAGGCGAAGAAGATGTTCTCATTTGGAAACCCTCATTTGATGGAAACTTCTCTGTTAAATATGCTTATAAAGCCATGGATTTCCAAAAAGATCAACACCACTCTGATATATAGACTAAAATTTGAAAGTGGCCTACATATGAAAAAATAAAATACTTTTTATGAAAAGCTGCCTCAAATTGTCTTTAGTCCAATCACATGCAAACATCTGGAAATGCTCCCCATCAACGTCTCTGTCCATTTGGTTGTAATTTCCTTGATTCCTAAATTTATATTTTATGAGATTGTGAAGAAGTCAAAGAAGTTTGGCAAAAATTAGTTAAACCTAGAAAACTTAACATCTTTTTCTCCTTTAATGTGCAGGACTGGATAATCTAGAATGCAAAGAATAAAGCAGGCAGCTTAAAAACAAGAAGAAAGCCTTGGCAGAAGTTTTTTGCACAAGCTTGCTGGAATATTTGAAAAGCTAGATGCAAAAAATTTTATTCGATAGATAACATCCCTAATAGCAATATTGCCTTCTTCAGCACTTAATAAATAAATAATGACTTGAAGCTTCTATACAAAATCAACAGCTTGGGCAAAAGCAACTCTACAGATGAAGGAAAATGGAGCCCATCTAAATTCGGATGGGTTAGACTCGACACTGACAGTTCTGTCAACATTAATGGTGTTACAGCTTGTGGAGGCATCCTTAGAAATGATAAGGGTAATTGGATTAAAGGTTTTTTTTCAAGTTCCTTGGATATCAACCTAGCACAGCAGCAGAACTCATTGGAATATTTGAGGGACTTAAACTTTGCTAAAATATGAAACTATTAAGAATCAATATCTACTTTGATTCGATGGAGGCGTTATCACTCATTAACCGTACCTATTCTGAGAGTCACCCATATTATGACATTGTCAAGAAGATCAGAGATCTTGTTATGAGAGATTGGATAGTCACCTTTGACTATATCCATAGAGAAGCTAATCGATGTGCTGATCTCTTATCTCACCGGCCTTCGTATGATATCTTTAATATTATGATTTTTTTATGAACTACCGCATGATTGTAGAAACTTCATGATTTTAGATATGATTAGACCTTAGTCTTTTATACAGTTTTACTGTGGTTTTATAATTCAAAAATTAAATTTTACTGTACACACACGAGCCATGTAGATGTCACTTTGTAACTCCTTAGACGAACTTTTTAATACTCCCCTTTTTTTGTCCAATCCTTTGACTTTTATAACTTCTCAAAGAATTAAAAACTCATCAAAATTTGGAGCTTTTCTTTTAACGCTATGCACTCACACAATTAAAATATGTTTTTTTTTTCAGAACAATTGCTAAAAGAAGTTAAATGACTATTTGCTCTCTGTGCTTGTCAATTGGTGTGATTTCTAACGATATATTTAATCTTGTCCATTGGTGATATCAAAAGGCTATAAATTTATATTAATAATATGGAGATATATTAGATATATTATATATATTTATATATATATATATATATAACCATTGCATTACACATTTTATTTTTTTTATTTTTTAAAAACAAGGAGAGCAAGTTAATTTTTCTTGCGCTCTTGATTGATGTTTTGATCTTTCTGAGTTTTGTAATGTCACACGCTAAAATTATATAATATCCATTAAAATGTAAATATAGTTGTCTTATGCATACTGTGGTGAGGAATATCTTATGACTCCGTTAAACATTCAAAAACCCATTTTTCCAACGTGTTCATACTTAATTTGAAACAAAATCAACCACCAAAACAACAGCAACAACAGCAATTAGTTGCTGAAATTTAATTTAAGGTAACTCAATTTTTATATTTTTAATTCAGTTAAACTTTACAATTTAATCCTTATAATCTTATCAAATTAAAATGAATCCTACATCTTAAAAAAATAAAATTATTATAAAAACTTAAGAATTAATGTTTTAAATAATTAAAACTATAAAAAAAATTAATTACACTGAAATAAAATTTAGAATTTGAATTCAAATTATAGGAATTTAAGCTGTGTTAAGTTGAAGTTTAGAAATTATATCATGACTTAATAAAAAATATAGGGATTAAATGATTGATTATTAATAATAATAATAATTTGCAAAAGCAAGAGGATACAGTGGTACACATTGAAGGGGTTATTGAGTAAACTGCGAAGTGGTGCTTAACGGTTTGAATCTCCTTGATTCGCTGTCGTCCTGAAGTGTTCCGAAAGCTCTGGCGCCAAAATCTCATTCTTTGAAATAGATCCAAATCAACCAGAAAAAACCTTCATTCTTGGCAACTAAATTTAATTCAAGCAAATTATCCAATGAACGAAGACGACGTTCAACGCCAATGTCAATTCTCGTCCTGCACGAGCTTCCTGCATCGGATCATTGAATCCCAGAAAACATGATTGAATGTCGTCGTTTACTTCAAGACGTTCAATCCCAAATGCCAATTCTGAAATGACGAAGGCTAATTCCGCCGCCCTCAGCCCCCCACTCTCCACAGACCCCTGGCCTGATAATTCTGTCAAGAATGACCGCAAGAAGAAGGTGAGGTGCTTCTTTTTCATTCTTTCCTGAGACGATATTCGCCGTGTGATTTCTGATCGTTCTAATTTTCTGCTTTTCGGGATCAAGTCTATTCTTCCTAAGATTTTCGGATCAAAGCGAAGCGGGAGAGGCTCTGATGAGGACGAGTTCAAAGCGGATATAGATAGAATCGCTCAATTTCCTGGTATTGCACCTTCCTTTCTTTTGGTTTTTCGATTCCCTTTTCCGCGTTTCCTTTTCATAACGTTTTCCCTTTATTTAAAAGATTTAGAGAAGGTGGTTGATTCGAAGAGAAAAGCATTCGCGTATGCGTCCCCTACATCCCCTGTTATGAGAAAGAGTTTCTCAGGTACGGCTTTTGACTTTTGAGTGCATAGCTTCTGTGGAACCTAAATCTTTTATTAATATAAGATGATTCCTGTTCATGATTTTAATATAATTAAATCAGATTCCGGGGGTTTAGGCTAAATAAAGGGTGGGTCAACACTAGATTCAGGATCCAACCGGTCTGCTACGCTACAGAGCCACGTACCTATCAAGCAAGATGAAGTCTCCCTTGTGTCTTCCTACATTATTATGGTAGCTTACCTAACAACAGTGACTTTTACAATGCAACGTATCGCTAAACAGAAGGCCAGAACACAGAGGGGGGAAATAAAGCTGTTTTGTTTCATAATTGATACTGACTTTTAATCCCTTTCATCAAGTGGATGACATTCATATCAATTATTGACTCACAGGAAGAAAAACGAAAGAGTGATGCTAACTAATTTCTTATTTCATGTCCAAAGGGGAGACGAGCCCAGCGATCGAAGGCCTAAACCTGTCCAACTTCGAGCAGCCTATGACTCCCACTACTGAAATTCAGACTTTCAGGTAAAGGGAAAAAAATGAAGCCCTCATGCCATTTTCTTGTTTTGGATGAATTTTTAAAATATGGAGGTCGCAGGATGTTTGTTGCTACATGGAATGTTGGAGGAAAGACACCGAACCAAGGCCTCAACCTTGAAGATTTCTTACTGGTGGAGGGCTCCGCAGATATATATGTCTTGGGGTATGCATCTTCCTCCATCTTATGCTCCTAAGCAACACCTCCGCTATGCCTAAATATATGAATTGGAATATTTTTATATGCACAATGGATTGTGATTACTTGTAGTAGTATTTATCTTGTACTGCAGATGCGCAATGTGGTGTGTTAAGTGATTGAATTAGAAGTGCAATGTTGGTTGACGTCTTTTGTGTATACAGGTTTCAGGAAATTGTCCCTCTGAGTGCAGGCAATGTTTTGGTAATTGAAGATAATGAACCAGCAGCGAAGTGGCTGAGTCTGATTAATCAATCACTAAATAAACCCAAAAATGTCTGCTTGGACAGTTCCTCCGAATCTGGAAATGTTTCCAGAACCTCAATACAAAACAACTCGAAGGAGTCGACAAAGCCCCCAGGAAGTCTGAATTTCTTTCAGAAGCCTTCCCTTAAAGTTCTGAGTAGAAACTACAGAGCAGATAGCAGCCTGCTCAAGACTTGCAATTGTTCTCTGGATTCACCTTCCAGAGAGGGACGAAGGCTAAGAAAACGTAATGACCTGATGAGTAAATTAGATCCTCCATTGTATCGTGATCCTTCCATGGATCAGTTCCTCTCAATTGCAGAAATACCACCTCCTCCAAAAGAAACAAAATACTGCCTCATATCGAGTAAGCAGATGGTTGGGATCTTTCTTTCCATATGGACCAGAAAGGACCTGGTTCCTCACATCGCTCATCTCAGAGTAGACTCAGTGGGAAGAGGAATCATGGGTTGCCTTGGCAACAAGGTAAAGACATGATTATCATTTAGGACTGATCATTTTTGGAACTAAGTTAATTTATAAAAATATTATGGTTTGAGCAATTAATTGCAGGTTACTTTTGCAGGGTTGCATATCAGTTAGCATGTCATTGCATCAAACAACTTTTTGTTTCGTTTGTAGTCATTTGGCTTCCGGGGAGAAAGAAGGTGACGAGCTGAGGAGGAATTCCGACGTGGCCGAGATCCTCAAAAGCACACAATTCCCTAGGATTGGTAAGAATCCTTGTCGTCGAGCGCCAGAAAAGATAGTTGACCACGAGTGAGTTATGGGCCTCCATTATTCTGTCCCTTAGTAATTGTACGTTTTGCTTCTTCTTCCATACTCCCGTAGCTCGTATTAATCACTATAGCTACCTCTCGCAGTCGAATAATATGGCTAGGAGATTTGAACTACCGGATTTCTTTGAGTTACGATGAAACAAGATTCTTGCTGGAAGATAATGACTGGGACGCGCTGTTAGAGAAAGATCAGGTTTGTCAATCTCTATGAATTCACTGTTATAAGTCAATAATCTAATGGAACACTATAATTAATCAGTGCTTTAACGTTCTTATTCATTAAACTGATGACAAGTAATGACAGTTGAATACGGAGAGGGACGCAGGAAGGGTCTTCAACGGATTCGACGAGGGACGGATCATGTTCGCTCCCACTTACAAGTATTCACAAAATTCAGATTCATACGCTGGAGAAACTGTCAAGTCCAAGAAAAAACGACGAACACCCGCCTGGTACTATTATCATTGTACTCAGTCTCTCACTCACACACACACACACACACACACACTTATCATTGTACAGTAGTGTTGGTTAGTGACAGTAAATATGTGAATATTATTACAATGATCAGGTGTGATAGGATATTATGGCGTGGGAAGGGGATTGAACAACTATCATACATAAGAGGGGAATCCAGATTTTCTGATCACAGGCCTGTGTGCGCGGTGTTTGCTGTGGACGTGGAAGCAAGGAGCAGAAACAATGTGATGAACAGGTTCAGGAAGGGCTATTCCTATGCTTTTCCAAGACTTGAATACGACGACACTTGCATTCCTCAAAGGCATAGTTTCTATGATTAGTCCCCCCCCCCCAACTTCATTAGGCTATACATACATATATATAATATCTACAATCTCTCATCTCTGTGTCGTTCCTGTGAATTTCCCTCCTCCCATAGAGTTTCCACCTAACAAGATAATCAAAATTTAAAAGGCTTCTAAGTTGCGAGGAGTGATTAATGCTCTGCAATTTTCATGTCCAGACTCCAGAGGCATTGTCGATGTACGTTATACATCATGTAAATACTAACACGACTGAATATTGATCATTCAAGCTCCCACGATCATGCCAAATCATTGAATTTTATGTTTGTACAAATTTGCCAGCTACATCAGGAAATAATACCTTACTTAGGACCGGCTTCTCTCCATCTTTCTCTCTTTTCATTTCCTTTTCACCTTCCATCTCAACCATTAGATCCATTTTTAAATGGTTGAGATTTGATATTTCATAAAATGATTATTAAAATGTGAAATTTTATAAAAAATAAATATAATAATTTTTATAAAGTATCAAATCTCATCCATTTAAAAATAAATTCTATAATTGAAATGAAAAATGGAGAAGAAATGGAGAGAAGCCAAGTCCTCTTATTTATTTGTGTCAAGAAATTAATTAAGTATTATTTAATCTAATAAAATAATCAAATTGTTCTTTACAAAACAATAAATACCAAACATGTCAAAAATGTTAAGTCTTAAAAAATAACAATGAATTTTTAAACTTTTTTATCACAATTTATTTAAATGTAAAGATGTAATAAAATTGAGATAAGCGAGTGTTTGTTTGATATTAATGCACAATACAAAGTTATAGTGACTCGAGAAATGATCTTAAAAACCACATGAAAGTGCAAAGTAAATTGGAGAAGTATATTCAAAGGTGCTAATAGATGATCTTGATTGATTGTTTGTCCTTTTCCTATGACCTTCTATTTCTTTTATAATTATTCAATCAAGACCATTACTCCCATGAGATTCGAAGCCCGTGCTTGAGATATTAGGGATCACTTAGCACAGCCCACGAGATTCATGGCACGTCACACTCTATCTGCTTAACAGTCTCTTACATTTAGCTCTTTCGAGTCTAGTGTCTTACTCTAGGCTCGTGCGTGGCACACCTTTCTCCTAAAAACAAACTAGATTATGCTTCTTGAGCCTATCGTCTCTTTTACCTTAGTTCTTTTCATTGGGCTAGTGTTTCATTTTTAGGCCCAAACAAAAGTAGTATTGTTTAATCTAACCAATTGTTATCCAAAAGTGAGATCAGATTTAAGCAGAACCACAAGGCGATGTGTACTCAATTTGAAATCGACTCATTGTTTGGATTATCAATGGCGTACGTATATTGTCAGACTCGCTTTCTATGTTTGCCATGGACAATCAAAACAAAATTTCCTAGAGTGCACCTCACTGGACACTGAAAGGAAAATAAGAGAGAGAAAGAAATGTAGATTTCACTTTCTTAAGATACTCATTTAATTTTTTTTATAAGTTATTTTTACTAATTTTATTAATATTAATATAAAAAAATATAAAAAATAAAAGTGTATAGAATTTTAAATATACCTCTATATAATAAATTTAAAAATAATTTTTAAATATTATCTAAAAAGTCACATCATAACTGATAAATAAGATTAAATAAATCTTTTTAAATATATTTTATAAATGGGATTGAAGGAGAAAAGCTCTTGGCCCATCTTTATTTCTCTGATCTCTCTATGTATTTAGATTAAAATGTAATTTAGGAGACCCAAACCAAGGGACGATGTGAACATCAACTCCTATTATAAGCCCTCAAAAGTAGTGATCGAATAATATTGCACTCTTACGCGCAAGACCAAATCTTGCTTGGCCCATAGTACATTCCCAGGAGTAGGTTGGTGATGATCTGTGATCCAAGACGTAAAACCCAAAAGAAAACATCAGATCAGTCCCTTTCTAACATTGGTAAAGATGCGCAACGGAGGAGGAACAACGGAACACACGGATATTACAAAACCTAAAAGAAATCTAAAGAGAAGCATATTTGGCTATGTTTGCCTGAATGTCTACTTTTCCTTTATTGATTGGTGATTGGTGAGTTCTCTTTCCAGTAAAAGAGTGTGGATCAAGCATCCAGTTTGACTAATGGATAATGGGGTTGGTGCCATGAAATTATTAATGTTTGCATATACGAATAAAGGTAAAAGTTTTCATCTGAATTTAAGTGCAATAATAATATAATTTTGAATTTATTTATTATAATAAATTATTTTTTAATTTTTTAAAATGATATAATTTAACTTTTATTATTAAAAAAATTAACTTTTAACTTTAGTTATTAAAAAAATAAATAAAAATAACGTAAAAAATTGCATAAATAAAGCAAAAACTACAATAAAACATTTAAAAATTACAGATAAGGATCCAAAAAATTAATGTTTGAGATTCATTATATCATTTTTTTAATTAATTAATAGTTAAAGTTAATTTTTATTAACGACAAGAGCTAAATGGCAATGCTTTTAAAAAATTAAGAGAGAATAATTTGCAAAAGTGTAAAGTTTATATTGTTACTGGACTTAAAATTTAAGGAATAATTTATTTATTTATCCTACTAATAATTAATGAAAAGATATTAGTACTCCATCTTCAATAATCCAACCAGACATTTGGGGATCTTTTAATCTTGTGCGGATTTATACAAAATTTTCAACATAATAAGACACATGATAAAAGATGGATAATTCTTTATTAGAAGTTACCTGATGGGGAATAAGTAAATTTTTCTAATACGACCTTTATATAAAGTTATTAAGTATGAGAGAGAATTTAATATAAATATAAAAAGTTTACTTTTAAATATAGGTAAAATAAAAATTTACTTTCATTTTCAAACCAAATTTAATGGCTTAACTATGATTTTTTTAATTTTGATTATATGATTAGATTTTTCATATAATAAAAAGCAAAATCACACCTAAGTCTCATAGAACATATTTAATTATCAAGAGGTCGTATAAAATGTATAAAATACTTATAATTTTTCAAATCCTGCTTATTTATAATTGAGCAAAGGGTATTTATAATTGGGTAAAAGAAAATGATAACTTAAATGTTAAACTCATACATAAATTATAAATGCCATTTGCTCAATCATAAATATCATTGGTTAAGTTGTAAACGAGTAAGGTTAAGAATTTGAGAATATTTTATGCCTTTTATAGGAAATTTTGATAATTAATATGTTGTATGAAATGAAATGTAGGCATGGCTTTCTCTAAAAAAAACAAATAGATCACACATAGGCTGGCAAAAAACAAAAGTAAAGGTACAAATTTGATCATATATTTTTTTTAAGAAGCATTTGATAGCCTAAATTATCATATGAGGCAAAATAAATCACGAACTTTAACAAATGGAGCATCTATTAGTCTGCCATTAATTTTAATAATTGATGGATGTTATGTGAGACCCACAATAACAGGTACAAATTTATTCACAAATTATTTTTTGAGGAGTATTGGGTAACTTCTACTATAAAAAAATGGACCACCTAATACCTTCTCATTAATTTTGACCACCAAACACCATTTATTTTCATACTTATAAGGCTCACAAAGCATCAATCTCTCCAATCTTTTTATATTCTTTCTCAATTTCAACTCAAGAAGAAGAATGTCAAAGAGTTCGTATTTGAAGATATTCATGAAGACAACGCTAACAAACATGGCTAAATAAATTAAGTTAGGATCAAACTCCTCTCATGCTCAGTAAAATAAAGTAAGTTTCTACTTCATTATTGTTATCATTTTTTGTGATATCTTCAGATGAGAACTCTTTTAAATTATTCTTTTTGAGCTGATAACTGACAATAAAGGCAAGAAGATTGGATGAATTTGATACTTTGTGAGCTTCATAAGCATGAGAATAAATGGTATTTGGTCAAAATTAAGAGGAGGTGTTGAATGGTTCATTTTTTTTTATAATAGAGGCTACTCAATACTTTTTAAAAAATAATTTATGACTAAAAATTTATACATTTATCATGCTAATATGTTGTGACACTTGTCATTGTTGGCTCCATATAATGTCAATTAGTTGAAATCAATAGTGGACTACTTCATATTTTATTTTTAAAAGTTTATAATTTATTTTGCATTATAGTCTAGATCTTTTAAAAAAAAAAATAATTTATCATTAAATTTGCTGTCTTGCTATAAAAAAAAACCTAGAGAGAGAGCATGTGTCATGGGATGGGGCTTTGCCAGTACAATAAAACTTTGCCAATATAATAACTAGTGAATGGTGGCCATGAAAAGGAGAATAAAGGTCAGCCCAATTCCCATAGAGCCGAACCGGAATTGAAGGGGCCGTTGGCCATGTCTCGTTTTTCGAGAACTCTCAAGGGTAACCCCGTCATTACATTTCGCAGCATTAACAACAAACAATTGTTCTCATTTCACTTAATATTCTCTCTCTGAGCACTCACCATCACTAACTACTATTTCAGATTCCTCCCTCTCTCTCCCCCTCTCTCCTATCTTCCCTATTCACATTTGCTTCTTTATTTCTCTGCTTCTTTCTTTTTTTTTTGTTTTATGGCACCCCCTTGAAGCAGAAGTAGGAGAGTGAGATGCTTCAAGATTCAGTGATTCAGGTTTCCTTCAACTTCATTGGCCACTTATTGTCCTTGAAAATTACCATACTCATGCTTTCGGCTCAGCAGAGTGAAATGAAGCAAAGAGCGTAGTCGGAGCTCATTCGAACGACCAACTTCCACCTAGGTCCCGTCCCTTTCCTTACACATGCATACCTCGGTGACCTGATTGTTTCTTGGGTTTCTTTAAGGTTGTTTTTTAAACATTGAGGGCTTGTTCCTCCTGTGATTTACCGTTTCTGGTTAATTTTCTCCCTTCACTCTCTTTTCAAGTATTCCGGAAAATGTCGAAATGAAGCTTGCCTTGTGAAGTAAGGAATGGGGTTTAAAGTTTTCAAACAAGGTGTGAGCTTTCGCAAACCGTAATGTCGGATTGAGATGAACTGGTTGAGATGAAAATGGGAGTTGCAAGCTCGAAAACGGAGAAAAATGAAGCCTTGCGTTTGTGCAGGGAACGAAAGCGATTCATCAAGCTAGCAATGGATTCAAGATACGATCTTGTTGCTGCTCATGTATCTTTACATACAATCTCTCCGAAATGTCGGAATCGCTCTTCGCCGTTACGCTGAGGCCGGGGTTTTGATGGAGTCGTCTCTCTCGATTTCCGACAAAACCCCATCTCAA